CAGTTCACTATGATAGAATATCGATATTAATAGAAAATACGGAGTAAGAAAAAGTAAAATTTATTGTAAAAAAAAATAGAGTCCAAAGGCTTTAACTAAGTCCAACAAAGGTTAAGCTAAGCAAAACAAGGACTGGAAATAAGCAATTATATTTATAACTCAATTATCATACACAAGAAAATGTTTTAGGAGCCTAAAAACAGTTCTATTTAATTGTCATTTTAATAAAAAGAAAAAATTGAGTATCAAACAATAATACAGAAAGGTTCCCAGAATGCATTTTTTTTTTAATGGATTACATATTGTCATCTTAGAAATAATTGTTCAAGTCACAAAATTAAAGCTTGTAAAGTGGACATTCCATCAATGATACTGCAAACAGTTCTGTTCATTGATCCAATAAAACTCTGTGATATCATTTTCTATCTTATACACTTAAATATACATGCAGTTATATAGTTTGGAGCACTTTCTTTTCCTCTCTTTTGTACCATGACTATTACACATTTTGGGTTTCATTGCTCCCACGGTTCTTATTACTTTTTTGGAAGAGAGTAAAACCAAATGTGACATAACAGAACAGAATCGGTCAAGTCAAAAGGGTGGACATAATAGATAATGTAAAAACATAATACAAGGTGATCAACAATGGTTACCATAATGCCTCCCGCTATCTCTAATAGAATTGCCTACATCGTTAGTTATAATACAATTGAACAAAACAGTAAAGAATAAAACCGACAAAACCAAAACATTGGAGACATTGTAGGTCTTCAAAAGTAGATAAAAGTCAACAAGAATGGGCGTCATAATGAATCTCATTATCTTCACAGCTGATGCCTAAACTTTCGAACCTGATACTATCCAGCAAAACAGAATAGGGGAACATCAGTTAAAAACCAGATGGTGAGAGTAATACAGGGCTTTAAATCAAGGTAATGAAAAGTCAAAGTGGGTTACTATAATATATCCTGCTATTTTTTTCCTTTAATTAAGAGGATAAAGATAAAAAAGTAAATAATGGAGTGGAGATTGAGATAAAAGAGGGCATAACAACGAAACAGCGCAGATCAAAACATAACCATTTAAGCAGAATAGTGTTTCACCACCAGACAATCCTAACCTAAAAGTAGTTACCATATTGTTTCTTTCTTTGAAATCCTTGAGTACAACTTCATATACTGTAGCATTAAGTATATCAAAACAATGTAAAACCATTCAAGAGAATGACAGCACTACAGAGTATTTAGAATCGACTAACAAAATGAACAATGGTTTCTGTATAATCTCCTTGTCTTTAAAAGGTTTTTGCCTATACTATCGTACATAATAAAATCCAATAAGATACAGCCTATTTAGACCATTGGAGACAGAAGGACAAAAGCTAGATGAGACTTCAAAACAAGATGATACTAAATCTGTATTACCTATTAAGATGTCATTTTCTCCAAAATAGCTGTTCCTATCATCCAATCTTCTCTGCCTCATTTCTGTTAAGCTCTTTTTCTGTCCGTAGCTGTCAGTTTGTCTTCTTCATTTTGTTCTCTGCTCCATTCGTTGTGGCCTCTCTGCCATTATTTCTGCATTCTTTGTATTTTTCTTTTTTTAGAATATCCTGCAATACTCTCTGTAGAGTTGAATTGGTGGTTGCAAATTCCCCCAGTTCCTCTTTATCCTGGAAGCACCTTGTTTTTCCATCAATTTCCAGGGACAGTTGTGCAGGATATCTCAATCTTGGCTGGAGATTATTATCTTTCAATGCTTGAATTATTTCCCCCCACGCTCTTCGTGATTTGATGGTTTGTGCAGAGAAATCTGCTGTAATTCTGATGGGTGTTCCCATGAAAGTGGTCTGTTTCTTGTCTCTTACAGCTTTTAATATTCTGTTCTTGTATTGAATTTCTGGAATTTTTATTATTATATGCCTGGGTGTTGCTCTGTTTGGGTTGTAGGTAGCTGGGGTCCTGTATGCCTCATACATCTGAGTATCTTTACCTTTTGCTAAATTAGGAAAATTCTCCTGGATTATTTCTGTGAGTAGCTTTTGTAGCTCACTTGTTTGTGTCCCTACTTCTTCTTTTATGTTCTTAATCCTTAAGTTATGGATCCTCTTATCATCTTCTTGTCTTTGTATTATTGCTGTTTGTTTCTTTGTTATTTTTAAGAAGTTTTTCATTTCATTCTCCCATATTACAAGTCTGCCCTCCAGTTCAGATAGTCTGTCCTTAGTTTCTTTCAAGCTGTTATGCCAGTCTTCTATAGACTTCTTAGTATCTTGGTAGTCCCTTTGAACCTGCTTCACGTATTCTATGCTTTCTCTGTTTTCTCCATCAAACAATTCTCCCCTTTTTTTTTGTTCTTCCATTCCACCACCTGTTTTTTCTTGGGTGGTACTTAGCATTTCTCTAACTATTCTGCATACTTCTAGCTTCAGGTCATTGATAACTTCATTCCTGAATTGGTCTATGAGGCTCTCTATATGGTGCCTTATGTGTAATGGTGCGGTGTCTGCTATTGCCTGTTTCTCAGAATTGGGGGCCGAGGAGCCTTTCTTGTTGCTGCCTCTTCCCATGCTGCCTCTTCTTCTCTGTTCCTTATATATGCAAGCTTATATAAGAGGCCCAGCTTCTCTCCCAGTCAGCCACAGCCTGATCGAATTGCGCCAGTTAGTTGTTCCCGCTCACTGCTGCGCACCAGGGAGTTACGGACCAGGCAGCCTACGCGTCTCCCCTCCCGGCCACCGTCAGGCTCTGGGATCTGGGTTGGGACAGTCTACCAGGTCCGCCGGCAGCGTCACACAGGCCAGGCACTTTTCACCAATCCCGCCCGAGAGGGGGATGTGTGACTGGAGTCGCCACCGCGCCCTGCTCCCGCAGGACTGCTCGGGCCCAGAAAGTCCTCTGCTGGAGTCAAACTGTGGTAGAGTGTCAGTTTCTCTCACTCACCTCACCACAAGTCAGTGCACGCCTCCCTGCCGTTCGCAGATTGCTGTTCTCAGAGCTTCTGCGCGTCTCTCTCCTTGCCGAGCTGCTGTAGAGGCAGCCAGCCACTGCGTGGTGGGAAACCCAAATCGCGGCTTACAATGGCGCGGGGTCCAGCCTCCACACCGAGTCTTTTCTGTTCCTGTTTTAGCACCAGGACTGCATTCCAAGTTGGCTTCTCTCAGCCCAGTTCGTTCCTGAGTCAGCAGAGCATATCTCCACCGACTTATGTCTCCTTAGTCCGCACCATTCCTGGCTTCTGAGCCGAGTCTTTCAGAGAGCCTCCGGTAGTTGCTGTTATCTGTCCGCCATGTTCTCCCGGAAGCCCCCAGAATGCATTTTAATAAGCTAGAAAAATGTCAGAATTTTGTTCTCAAGGAAATAGCTACAATTACCTGCAAAACAACTGCTGTTGTGATATGTTTTCTCCCTAAAAGAAAGTAAGCTCTATGATGGCATACAGCTTGTTTTATTTAGGACACCATTCCAAATTTCTAAAATAGTACCTTACAAAAATATTGATTAATGTTAAGAAATAAATTGGTCACAGAAATACTTGTATGAGGTACCATCATTTATAAAAACACAAATCTTCATTTATAATATATTTCAAGTTATATGCACATGTACAAACATAACCTATAGTTATATGCCTAATATAAAGATATAATAAGTCATAACTTAGTTATAGTCAACAGGACCAGAAAACAAAAGATTATTTGGTATAATAAAGAAGATCACAACAGGAGGTCATCTAAACACTGGAAGGAATATATTCAGAATAGTAAAAAAGTTGTTTAAAAATCATTCTATTTAATATCTAGCAAGTACTTCACAATAATTGATAATCAAGGATTGTTTGTTAAATAAATGAAGACAAGATAACAAATATTATAGGCTGAACTGAGTTCTCTGTAGGCTGAACTGACTATAGGATTGCTGTATATGAATTTGGATAAAATGAGGTCATACTGGATAGAATAGGGCATCAATATGACTGATGTCCAGAACTGATGTCCTGGACACAGAAAGAAGAGCAGAGTGTGTCATGTGAAGAAAAAGGCAGAGATGGAGGTGATATGTTTATAAGCCAAGGGGGATCACAGATTGCTAGCAAACAGCAGGAAGCTGGGGAAGAGGTACCTAACCGTTTGTTCTTCACAATTTTCAGAAGGAACCTATCCTATCAAAAGCTTGATCTTTGAATTCCCAGATACAGTCAATTAAGAAGAAAATTAGAAAGACAAGAAACTCTTTAGGCAGATAAAATGCTTTAATGAGTAAAATTTGAAGTGATTAGGTGCTAGTGCTTTATAAAGTCTTATCTTCAAAGTCTTTACTTTGTGAAGTATGATTAAAGGAACATTCAAAAACCATATGCCACTTTTGTCTTGTGACTTCATACATCCTTGAAAACACTGTTTCATACCTGATAGGTTAGAGGCAGGTTGCAGTTTATTTTAGTTGAAAATTTAAATCCTAAAAGCACTGTTGTTGTTTGAAATATTATAATTCTTTGTTTACCAGAAAGCAATAAGAGACAAAAATAGTTTGCAAGTCTGAAAAACTGCAAAAAGAGCTTATTTATATTCATTTATCCTGGGGCTTAGAAAAGCGGTTGGGTTGTGAATCACCTGCCATATATTTACTGGTTATGTGGAGAGTGAGAAAACACTAGCCTTTGTTACCGATTTCACGTAATATTAAAATTATGTCAGTTCTTCTATAGAAAAAAAGCAAATTTTGCCAATATGCTCATTTTCTTTCTATCAAGGACATAACAGGGATGGAAGAAAATAATTGTATTTCCCTATATTTTCTTTCTCTTACTGAAAATAAGATGAAACAGCTGTGGAAGAAATTATAAAGGAAGTAGAAGTGACAAGCCTCAAATACTGACGTTAGTAGTAAGGGGATCTTTTCATTGATTCAGATTTATTCATAGAAGGAAACATTTATTCCACCTGCTCAACAAAGATTACATAAAACGGCTACAGCTTAAGAATGGAAAGTACAGGCTGGGGATGTGGCTCAGTTGGTAGAGCTCTTGCCTGTCATGCACAAGGCCCTGGGTTTGATCCCCAGCACCACATCAGAAAAAAAAAAAAAAAGGAACGTGTAATATAAAGTAATATCCATACGCTTACCATAAAAGATGAATCCCAACATTTTTATCTTAGATATTATATAATCTACATACACAAGATTCTACATATAATACATATAATACATGTTAGTAATCATGCTATCATACAGTGTTCTTTAAAGGATTTTAATAAAAAAATTCTTTGAAGTGCTAATAATTTTCTTTCCAGAATTTGAGTTCAGTACCTTCTATCTGTGGCACTTCACCATGAAGCTTGGCTTTGCTAGAGAAAGGTGCATCCTGTAGTACTAATGCAAAAAGAGAAGGGATCAAGGACTGCAAGGCAGAAAGATACATATGGAGCTTATGTTCATCCAAACCATGTTCTCCTTCCTGAAACATAAGGAGGTAGAAGCTAATTTTAGTCTTTAGAAATTACATTGCTAATTGGATTCATTTCCTTTGTGACAAATAAAACATTTTTTGAACTCAAAATGTAAGACTTAACGGAAATTTTCTTTCAAAATGTGCTGAAGCAATAAGCAGTGTAGAACTAACAGAATCTTTTATATGAAAAACTTTAGAGTAAACACTGCTCACTTCCAATATTGAGAACTTCTTTTATAGGCTTTCTTTTTCAGTGGGAGGGTCTTATCTTTAAAATTTTATAAATCAGGTTAAAGAAATTAAAGTGAGCCACACATTTTAAATGTTCAACTCTGCTAGCAACTTTCTTTCTTATATTTCTTGCCTCTTTTTATATATTTGGTAATATCTATATTTGCAAGTGTTAAAAGCACTTTAGAATAATTCCAGGCACACACACACACAAAAGTAGAAGAAATTTCAAAAGGAAGCAACCAAAAGAGATAGAATAAAACAGGGTTAAAGGATCCGTGTGGTACTTAAGATATTTAGTATTGAAGTGAAAAAAGAATTATTAGAGATTAAAGCATTTACTACTATTAAGCATCTACTTGCGATATCCTTTTGTATTTGAAAGAGCAGCCAGAAATATTAGAGATACACATTATTTATCAAGTTCTTAATTTGTTCATGTAAGAATTACTATCTATAGTGTAGTATTTTTAATTGTACTGTGGAATTTGTTGTGTTACCATATGGAACAAGAAATATCAGGCATGGGTAATTCTCAGATAGAAAAAATATAAACATTTAAAAAAATTCCCTAGGTTTCACAGCACAGTGTATCTTAGGCAACCAGTCTATTTTCGGTTTAAAAAGAAACTCTACTTTGAAATTTATACAAAGATTAGCCCTATTTTTTAAATTAAATAAATACATGTGAGCACATGTAAGATCATCTGCTGAGTAATTACAGTGCTTTATTGTAAGAATCTTATAGATCCTTTAACATTTTGAGGCAGAAAAGATGAGGTTAGAGTCAGAGATTAATACAAGATCCTGATACCATGTAACACTATACAGCAGTGGATCCATGATAATTTACTCATATATTACATCTCAGTTTCCATAGAAAACACAGACTACAATTCAAAGGCTTATGAGAAAAAAGCAGGATTTTAATATTTAATGTATCTACCTCAATGGCATAAACAGGCAGTCATAAATATTATTTCTCTTGTAGCCATTAACTACTGGGTCAACTTGAGTAAAAAAATTTTTAAAACATAAGTTAGATCAAGAACTTTCTATTTTTCTGCACTTTTTTTAACATGGGTGGGTAGAATAAAAAGCTATGAAATCATAACTATATGGTAAAATACATTTGGACCTAACAATTTAATAAATGGAATTATAAGTAAAAACTGGAAATAACTTGTAGTGAAATATACATAGTTGAAGTAATTTTAATATCATATAAATAAGAAAGCTATGCAAACTCAGATTTTAATTATCTTTGTTTCTGGAACCGTTTTTATGTAAAAAGTTAAGAACTCTAACAGATACAGACCCATTCATTCCTAGCCTCACCAAAACTTCCTTAAATTTCTCTTGGCTCAAGTTAAACAGAATCTTACTAATTATTGGTATCAGGTATTCAGCTAAGTATTACTTTCTGTGTCTTCCCCAGTATTCCTTTAAAATGGTTTAGAAAAGATCTTTCAAATTGCTATAAACTATATCAACAACAGAAGAACTCACTCTGAGAAGCTTCTCAATCTTGTTCAGTAGTGTAGGTATAAGATGAGACTGTAAATTTCCAAGTTCTGTAGTCCAGGCAGCATAAGCTGGTAAAAATACTTGATGTGTCGCACTAACTACTCTTTCTGAGGGATCACCCAAGGCTGACTGCAATAATTCGAAACCCTGTCAAAAAAGCAATGAGAATTTTGGAAGAATAAATCTGCTAAAACACTTAATAAGCATCCATAATACTACTCTTTTCATTTTCTTAAATGCCAAGTATGCATTCATTGATGAGCAAACCAGAGAGAAGGGCTGGAAACATTTACTTACTGCTGGTTTTGACACAAAGCTGTGGAGATACTGTAAAGAAATCATGACAGTCTTTCCTCTGAGTTGCAACACTAACACCAGGCAGTTATGTCCAGCTGAATAAAACTGGCAAGGTTGTCATTCCTACTACAGATTATGAAGTATCTGAACCAACGTTTTAGAATATTATTAGAAATTTTATAATGGGATAAAGAGATTCATTCTGAAAAACACACCTGTTGATACTTGTCTGGATCATCAATGTATCCCATGATGATTCCAAGGCTTTTAATGACAGCTTCTCTTACCAAATCAGCCTTATCTTCCATTAACATCTGTTGTAACATTGAGAGAACCAAGGAACTACGGATTTCTTTCTGAAAATAACCAACATGTATTTACTATTCATTTATACACAAGCAAAAAGATACAGAAAATAATAGCAAACACTGATGTGTTCAAAATCCAGATTAAACAGACATTAGCATTTTGCTGTATTTGCTTTAAATCTTTATCTTTTTCAAATCATAAAATATTAAATACATCCAAAATATTGTTCTCCCTAAATCTCTCCTAGCACATTCTCTTTCTAGAGATAATCACATCTATCCAGAATTCAGCAATAATCATTTCTGAACATGTTTTTATAGTCTGCCCAAAAAATGTATAAACACTTCAAGAAAAGAAAAACAGTATGTTTTTCCAAAACATGGTGTTACTGTCGTATGGGGGACACTACAAAATGTCACACATTGCAGAAAACCCATTACACTGGCAGTCCTTGGAGAAGAAACTGAAAATGCATGAGCAAGCTAGGTGTAGAGGTGCATACCTGTAATCCCGGCATGCTGAAGCAAAGGACTGCCACAAATTCAAAACCAGCCTGGGCTACATAGTAAGGTCAATAATGCCTTAACTACATAGCAATTTTGTCTCCAAAATACAACCCTTCAGCCCCAAAAGAAAGAAAATGCATGAGCAGCAATCTAATGACCAAGGCAATAGTTCACCATACCAATAAATGACTGGATGTTAATGGCCGCCATCTTGAGCCCTTCTTATAATTATAAGAGACCCAAACTTACTTGTATTAATCTCATGCTGTCTCAATAAATTCAGTAAAATAGTTATAAAAGTTTTTTAAGGTGTTTATACACTTTTTTTTGCAGACTCTGTATTTATTAAAAATGTAAAATCCTTCAAATCTTTATAGTAAATATTATCAGGCAAATTCAGCAAATCAATAGTCAACAATGGTTGCTACAAATGAACAATGGCTGTTCTATTACCATTTAACTCAGAGAAGAATATTGAGGGATTACAACAGGTGGGAATTCACTGACAATAAAACATTTGGTTGGAGTAGGATGAGGAAATACAAAATGCTGGCATTCCTATTTTTTTTTTGAAGTGAGAAAAATTCAAATAGGGTAATAAAATATTAGAAAGAACTTTATTTATTTATTTATTTTTGAGACAGGGTCACTCTATGCAATTCAGGCTGGCCTTGAGGTCATTTTGTATCTCAGGCTAGTCTTTAACTTGCAAATATCCTCCTGTCTCAGTCTCCTGAGTGCTGGGATTACAGGCGTGAGCCACCATGCCTGGCTCTATGATGAATTTTAAAAATGCTTTTTTTTTTTGTGCTGGGGATTGAACTCATGACCTTGTGCTTGCCAGGCACGTGCTTATGCCACTGAGCTAAATCATAGGCCCTAAACATGCATTTCAATTTAATATGATAATACACAATATGATGTCAACCACTGCTATAATTTGATTTCCTACAGTTTTTTTTTTTTTTTTTTTTTTGCAGTGGCAAGGATCAAATTTAGGGCTTGAAGCATAATGGACAAGAGCTTTACCACTGAACTATAACCTCAAGGCCCACATAAAATTTTTCAGTTACGTTAGAGTGTTTTGTGTTAATTAATGGCTGAGGTTAAAATAAAAAGCTATTCAAATTTATCCTGCTTCCCTCAACTTTGCAGTAGTATTACAACTTGGTCAGTTTACAAAAATTTTTAAATGTAAATTATCTTGGCTAAATTTTTATGTATAATATAATATAAAACTAAGTGTAAAGGAAATGACTATTTTCATAAATTTACTGCATGATTTGGTCTGCAAACCAATGTTTATCAAATATTTTTTAAAGGCCTGGTTTCGATGCTTTAGAAATAAAAATAAAGGTAAGTAAATTTTTGACAATTTTAGGCCGACTCTACCTTTCGGCACAACCTTGTTTACTTTTTATGCTAAACACTGTGCTAAAAATGTCTCAAAGTACCTTACAAGGAATTTGCAGTGGGCATTATCACAAGGCAAGTAGAGGGAGGTGTGTAAGTTTCAAGAGACTGCTTCTCATCAATCTGGGCTGAAACTGTCATTGGTCCTATGGCCTATAAGGGAGCTCCATAGGAAAGGTCGGTAGGCGTTACTCTAGTGAAGTCATAAGCACACCCAGGAACTAGTGAAGGAGGGAAAGTTTGCTGTTACAAGTACAAGGTCTTTTGATGAAACATTATTATTATTGCTGCTGTGTGTTCCAGAGGCAGAACAGCTAACTCATCCTTTGAGAGCAAG